GTATATTTTCCAAACGATTTATTTTTTTCCAGCGAATCTGAACTTAAACTTTGTCTACGAGTCGACGTTAGTAAATAAACAACGTCAGTAGAAAATCGACGATTTATGGAATAGAGAAGCAGAAATGTATTTTCAAACTGTAAGATTCTAGCATTTTCATGGAACTTTCGGTTTAATTAGCAGTTTAATTATTTAAGATCCATGTAGACGAGCGAGATCCTGTTCTTTCGGTTTGTTCCCCTTCCCCATCTTTCTTCGTTCTCTTCCAACGGGTTTTGTGGAACGGAGAGAGCAGAATTGGATGAAAGAAAAGAACAATGCGACGCGGGATAAAGAAAAGTGTAGGAATGGAAGCGAAGACGGAAGGAGAGGGGCGGAGGCGCGATGGGGTGCGTTGAAAACGCAGAATCCACGTGACTATAAATTCCTAGAACCGTGATATATTTATACGCAGGAATTAATTCGGCGCCAGGGCGAATTAACTTTCTATGGCGTTCTGCCAGCCACGGAGTCTGTTGATCCGACGGAATTTAACTGCCGTTGGATGTAATTGAAGCGACCTCGACTCAGCCACCATTGTCTTTACGCTGTATCTTCATTTTGTTGCTAACAAATATTCTCATTAGGATAGCATCACGTCATTCGAAACCACAACGTTAAGAACTTTCTGAATTCTTGGTGAAAAATTTTATTCATAATTCATAATATTAATACCATTCTCAAGTTTGGACGACAGACTCCCTGTTTCTTAAAATCAATTTATTCAATTTTGATCATTCAAGTCAGCATAATGACAAGAATTTGGTTACACGAACAATTCAGAATATTTACGATATAGTTTCTGGATTATTCTCGCAACAGTCCTCGTGTTAATTTAAATTTTCAAGTTACCGGGCAGAATTTTACCGTGTAAGCCATCAGCAACGAGGATATTTAAGTGTTTGCACTCAAATGATGGAAATCGTTTAATAATTGGACATCGATGCCGACGATTCATAAGTGCGTGTATCCTGGACGGAACATCGTTGTGCTATGTCATTAACATCGCGTTACGAGACTATAGTAATTAGATAGTCCCTCTGATCGATTGTACTTGTAACCAAATCTCTCGACGGGCAAAAGCACGACTTGGTACACGATAATGCACTACGGGCGGTATTGCGTCCAGGATCGTGCAATAGCGTGGAAACCGGAAGTGAGACGATTAATCATAAAAGGCGGAAACTGGGAATATTCCCTTTTTTTCGCGAGATAACATTAGCCAGGGGGAAAACGTCTTGGACGATGGTTCGCGGATTTAAGTCGAATATTCGAGGGATCGTCGCGAGGAATATTTTACACACACCGACGTGTCGTCGTTGCACTTTGGCCCTCCTTTGCTTCGTAGAGTCCGAAGTGGATTTACGGTGAGGGTGGGAGGAGGGGGGTCGCGTCTTCTTTTTCGAGGAAATGTGCCAATTTCGGAAACGAGATTTGGAGAAGGGACTCCGTTTTAGATATGACGGGATTCGCGGCGCTGGACGGTGCATGCGAATGCACTTATGAATTTTTACCACGATGTAAGGATTCTCCGGCGAAGATGCTTCGAAAGTATCCACTACGTCTGCAGCGTAGCTTTACTCGGAAACTTCTAAATTGCCGCGCGTGTTTCGATATTTATGCATGCAAGGAACGACAACGGTCATAAAATTATAACTGTTGCATACGATTAACCCTAGAATGGTAAGCTTGTTCATAATGTAAATTCCAAGTGCAACAAAGTTTATGAATTAAATAGAACGTAATAACTACACATTGGATAGTTATAAAAACTATTCGACAACGTAATCTTTCTAGGTCTAAGCATATTTTTAAACCAATTCAGTGTCAATCATCTATCAAATATTAGTTGGGAAAGAAATTTACTTTTCCTTAGGAATCATTTTACGCTGATTTCAAAGTCCACATACCATAAACGACGATATAGTCGTACAATACATATTTATTCATAGGGTGGAACATTGATTGTCGGAAATAATAGGGGGCCAAATATTCCCGATAAACGAATTTTCCGATAATCGATCTTCAGATAAAAAAGTAAGAAATTTGCGACTATGGAAGTTAATTTCATTAAACGATACTTATTTATAATGTGATAGTATGAATTTTTTAAATAAATTTTCAAATATTACCAAAATGTATTATTTAATAAAATTGAAGAATTATACGTTTCTACAAAGGACGAACCGATACTGTACTACCGATTCGGAATTGCAGGCAACGAAAGGCTTTGAGTGTTGTTAAACGTTTATCTTTAACGTCTGGTATATTTTTGGTATCTCGATGCTCGATTTTGCGCGATACATTATCGCCAAAGGCGGAACGAATAAACGATAAAAATACTGTGGCGTGTATAGAATTGCTCGGAGAAAAAACAAGTAATCGAACTGGATAGGGTGAAGCCCATAAAATATTCAAAAGAAGACCGGCCCAGTGTTTTCGGTGTCGGTGGAACCGTTGTTTGACTTATCGCAAAACAATCACCGAATCGTCGGTATTATTCTGACGCGATCGCTGCGGTGAAAAGCAAATTGCTAGGCACGAAATTGATTTCCCGCCATTGAATTGCTCTGTCCCTGCAGTTCAGCTGAAATCTTCCGGCAGTGTGTGCATGTGTGTAATTGAAATGCAACTGACGGACCCGTGACAAAAGGACTCGGAACAATAGAAGCTATCTTAACCGCGGACAACCGCCAACCTTCTCGTTTTTCAGCTGAACTCGATGTTCGGAGTTCGACTGTCAACCATTCTTTTGTGTTTACAGTTATGACGACAGTTATCCTTTCGAGGACCCCGACGGGCAAATATCTTTATCGATTTTTCCGTTATAAGCTTGTTAGGTAGACTGCACCGATTCAACCTTTAATCGAAATTAGAAATATCGCGGAGTTACCTTTAAATGCGTTGGGTCACAAATTTTGATTAAATTGAACGATTTAGCGTTTGTGCTGGAAACGTAGTATATAATGCTTAGTTTTATTTTACGATAAATTAATCTGTATGCTTTTTTTTTATTGACTTTGGATTATACACTAAGCTTGAACAGCTGCATGCACGTGAATTTATAGGCTAATGACATTTTATCTATTATTAAGTAATAAACTACATTTCGTCAGGTTATGTGGAATTGCTATATAAATTTACTTAAAGACTTTACTCTTTGAGGGTAGAATTAGTATTAACAGTCGTACGAGTTTAGTGGTGAAAATAGATCCTTTTCAGATTGTTTTCTTGAGGAATCTGTATCACTGCTGGTACAGTGAACTTTATTGTTGGTCTGAAATATCGTTGGACACAGTTAGGCACAGTAACCTGTTCGTACCGTAAACTACGTAAATATTAAATCCGTAATGCGACTTTCAATAAAACAGAGGTTCACTTATGGTAGTCGTTGGTGAATCTAAAATTCATGCTCCGTGCATGCCTGCTCTTGCGTTATTGGCCACGCAGACCCATCGAGAGGAGTTGATGGCCCAAATGTTTCGCGTTCGAGCATCGAAGAAAACGCGCCATGCTTTACCGTCGTGCAATCTACCGACAATTTATACGCACTGACGAAGCGGAACGTACGTGTACACGCGCATAAAAGTATCAATATACGGAGTGTATCCGGCCGTAGGAGCGGCGTTAGAGCCGCTCAAGAAAAAATAAAGCGACACTCTAAAGTAAAAAGTTTACTCGTACTCTTATGCCGTTATGCTCGCGATCTATATGGTAATGCGAGGACCGAATGGTCGGGTAGCGTGCGTGAAAAGCGCGGGAAAATGTTTATGCTAAATGCACTTGTCTATTTTCATTGCAACAAAGCGTACAGCGTATGAAGAGAGTGCGCTACAAATAGCTACGATGAGTAATCTTTCTATAGTTGAATAGCTATCGCGTCAGTCCTTGTACTATTTACGATATATAATCAGGTAACATCTGAAAATAATTATGGTATCATTAATTTTATTGTTACTGTGGCGATGCTTCGCTGAGGGTAGGATCTCGAGAGAATTTGTAGGACAGAAAAGAAAAGCTAGTGGACTCATCAGTAAGGCTTTCTAGCAGGCTTTGCTTTAGACGACTGGGATATTGGGAAGTTTCTTTTTTTTGTTGTTGTTATTTCTCCTGATTTTTCGCAGTACCTGGGGCTGGGGCCCTATAACCTGCATTTAAAGTGAGCTGTTGGGTTCTGGAAATATTCGAAAAGGTTCGAAAACCTCGTTTCCATGCATCCTGCGATGAGTCTGGTGGTGGGGATTGTTAGTTTAGAATGAGTCCAGGTGTTTTTATTCGTGTTTTTAGTGGGGTGGTGATGGGGTCGTAGTTCCCTAGAGTAGCTACCAGAGGATTTGGGTGTTTGAGGTTGTCGTTCGAGGAGTGTATATATAGCAACCGAGGAGTCGGTCGAGCGCTTGTGAGAGCGTGACCCCTCTGGTGGCGAGCATGGGAGGCGACGCCACATTACTTTTTTGAATCACAGCAAACATTTTATTTGTTTTTCCTTGATTTATCTATACACTATTATTTATGTCGACAACTAGGTTTCTAAATGTGTAATTTTCACCAAATTTTCTCGTATTTATTTTTTGCCGGTAAAAACAACTGTAAATGGGATAATAAAAATTTGATGGATACGATTGTTTAAACAAAAGACCTAAAAGATTTGAAAGCAATAGTAAGACATTTGACGTGGGCTTTTTTTTCGCTGTATGAATTTTTGCGATGTTATGTGACTTGTGTCTTGAGTCGAGCTATCCGTGTCCTATGGACGCGTTCCAAGTTTCGTCGCGATCCCTCCAGGCGTTTTCTCGTAACAAACAGACGGACACAAGTGTGTTATATTTATATAGATAATTGAGTATTTCCCTCTGTCTCGTGCATTTCCTCGTGTCTAATTTTACGCGCGCGCCAGCGCAGGATGTTAATCATTTGTTAAACTTTCTTTGGGCTCACTGTGTTTTCCGTTTACGTTTCAGATACCGGTGAGTACGAGCTACGACATCAGCTTCAACGACGTTTGTAAGTTTTCATCGTTGATATAATGAAATTTAATTGATACCGAACGGTTTGTTTCGCGTGTAAATACGAACCGAAGACAGATTATAAATCACGGGGACTTTAGCATCTTGCTAATGGACGCTTTTACGATCGTTCATTGCCGCAAAGTGCATCGTAAAGAACCTAATGAACGTCATCTGTGCCGGATGCTATCTTTATAAATTTGCGCCTGGGTAGGCTCCGGGCAAGTTGTTCCATTTTGCTCGGTTTCGCGTTTCGCTATGTTTAGTCCGCGTCATGTTCGCGTCACGTTTTATCAACGCCCGTGAATTTTGTGACAAGCGATCCCCGGTATAGCAAAATCGACAATAACCCGGAGGAATTAGTCGAATCGACGTTCGACCGAAAATGAACATTGATTTCCGGTTTCGTTGCGCCGTGGATGCCCCGTAGTGTCAAATTACGCGGCAAATGGGTCATTTGGAGAAAGAGCAATGTTTCAAACGACAAAAGCGAGCAAAAATTGCTCACGCTCGGAGTGCATTCTTCAAACAAAAACGTTTCGAACAAATATCGCGTTGCTTGAAACGCTTTCCGAGAGCGGATAAATAAAAACTTTCGTTCCATGGATTACTGAGTTTTCGAAAATATTTGTATAACTGAATTTCAGGCTTGACAGGCGCGTTCGGTTAGAGTTTTCATTTTCATTTTAAAGCAACACGCAACCCTTGCCGTTCGAAACATTTTGACAAAGCGCGAAACGATCGCGATTCGCGCCTAATGGATATTAATGTTTGTTTTTTGCGAAAATTTCGAGGGCGTAATGAGGCTGAATTATTATCGACGAGTCGAAAATTTCCATGGCGATCGAAACGAGAACGTTTCGACTAGGCGTTGACCTCCATTGAGTTTTTGTTACGTATGTTTGGCTCACTTGGACGCTCGCAAAAAGATCGTTAGCGGAATCTAGAATTGGTATACCCATGCGGCTTATCGATTCTAATTTACTGGAAAGTCATTATCGCGTAAAAAGTCCACTTCTTGGCGCCACGATATTGGTCGTGATTCGTGTCGATGCTAACTCCAGCGTCGCGAGATGTTAATTACACAGAATCGCGGAAAGAAAAATTTATCGAAAACGAAGCGGTACGAGAATATGTATATCTTGCAACATTTCTCACCACTTTTCTCCAGTCTATTCTTCTTTCTTTCGAGCGATTCAGATTCGGTTCCCTTTTATTCGTCCAACTTCTTCCAACTAAAAATGCGCCATTGTTTCGAGGACTCCACAAAGGATAAATTTACATAGTTTCTTATTGCTTTTCATCTTAATATAGGCTGTGCTTCAATGAACAAAGTATGGTTGTTTGTGCATCTTCCAATACACGAAGAAGGCGAAATTAATTTAAAGACTCTGGAAGAAACTGTAACAAGTGTCTATTTCTCTTCTCTTCTTATTTCCTCGAATTTAAAAACGAGGCTTCAGAAATATAATAAAAAAAAGAAAAATGTAGAAGGAAATTTGAAACTTGTGAACCTCTTGCAGTGATAACGCCTTGCAACAATTATCTCGTTTCACATTTCCCCAAACGGTATTAAATCCATAGTGACGGGGCTCGAATCTCGCCACTTTAACCCCGGCATTTATCCACGAAGCAATTTCTACTTTATCTCATTTTGTAAGAATTATTATCGTCGAACAATTTGGATGCAGCTCAGCACGCGCATTACTCTACCAATTATTCACGTCATTTCTGCAATAACGACGGGAACGCGACGCAGTAAACATTAACAATCCCGTGTAAATATCCGTTCGTTCTCGCATGGTCGCCCGAACATAACTTACGCAGTCGAACGTTGGCCAATTCATTGGCAACTTGTTTCAAACGGGTTAATTGCGACGAGTACTCTGACGATCGTGGCCCAAGACGAGCAAAGTTTAACCCTTTGGCTGTGGGATAGCAGGGTGACAGAAATTAAAACAAACACTACGTCAGGATAATTTCACTAACTAAAGATAACAATTATTAAAAAAAAACTTTTTTTCACGAATAGATATTAATCGAAATGATAATTATAAAAATCACATTTCTACAGTTTTTATAACATTAAAACAGATGTCCGAGTGCATTCTTTCGACTATGAATGTTATTGTCTACGTTAATATTTATGTAGTTTTTCCATTACAATACTGGCAGACCAAGACCTCGTGGTGTGTTTTTGAAGACATTAGCGACGAGTATGATTATGAGAAATTAATTCAGTGAAGGCGTAAAGGACATTGAGCATCTCTCTAGAGAACCACGATGCAAAATAAATCAACCTCCTCTTAAATTAAAAAATTAGCAAGGCAGATGCGTGTCTTGACCAAGACATAAAGGCAGAAAGATAAAATACCGTTGACCACACTTGTTATAAATCATAAATTTTCAATGATAGGTTTCAGGATTAATGAATTCTTTCTTTCAAATTATATTATATTCTTCAATATAATAAGAGTCCTTTTATTTCCTCTATTTCTATTAGTTTTTATAATTTCTTTTTTTCAAAGTCAATTCTTATATTTCATATCAAGATACATATTAATTTTTTCATTGGTCTATCGATTTATCAGATCAATGGATTCTTTGAATCTTTTCCACATGAAGAGTAACAATGTAATTTTTTTGCCACAAGAACCAATGGTTTAAAAGTTACAATAACTCGCGTCCGTCATTAGCCAGAAAACTGGCTCTAGAAATCGATCTCCTAAAATTCCAGCCCACACATTCAAAGAAAATCTCTCCTAATGCCCTGACTCAATAATTGCGCGAGGGTTTTCATCTGACTATTCATAGCTATTAAAAAAAGTAATCCTGCTTTTGTTAAACTCAGCCTCGCCGATAAAGAGCATGGCGAGTTTATGTTTTATTCGTTCGAAATGCTTGTTTAGATAAGAATTTTGTCCTCTGCTGGAATCACATCGATCGTGATCAAAGTCGATAATAGTATATAGCATTAAATTTTAACTTTTATTACCTGTTCGATCCCTTCATTGTAAATATTTGTTCACAGAATTAATCCTTTAATTACTTCGATTCATAAATATGTGTAAAAATTATTGCAGTACTATGCATGTTTGCTTTTAGATGTTCTCGACTATCGTAAAATAATTGTGCCTAATCCTGAGTACGACATGCCTGGTGCAGACGGTTCGAAGGTCAACCAATCGTGATCTGTCGCTCCACAGTTCGGTTTAAGACAACCGTCGTTAGTCTAATACCGAGGTCGTCTCGATATTCGACTAAATATTCATCGTAAAGCGGTTTATAAATTGTATTCTTAATTTTCACGAGCCCTTCTTCCACCCACCGGAGACGTTTCAGAGATTTTCGATGGTAACGATCCCCGGGTAAGCTTTTTACCGGGACACCGGGGCGAAAGGTGGGCCGTTTATAAGGCCGAAGTTTCGAGTGGACCATTAAATCGTAGCTCGAGCAATTACATCGGTCTCCTCGTATCTGATGATGTTGACTTAAGCCACGCTTTCAGCGAGATCGTCAAAGATGCCGTTTATTATTCGCGTCGTTCGATGGGGCACGGGCGTCCCGCGATACAAGGAACCAGCCTTTATCTCGCTCGAGTGCCCAAGGAATCGAACGGAGGGGTCCGAGATTATTGGACGTCGATGGAAGGCGCGCCGGTCGTTATTAGTAGAAACAGAGCCCGCGACTGGACGTCGTTTGAGACAGTGTCTATGTTATTTGGAATTGAAACGAGTAATTTGAAGGGGTGGTTTTAATGATGAGTCGAGAGGTGGAGGAGAAATCGGAGCGTCGTAATTGATTTCCTTTGGCCGTGCTTGCACAAAGACGGGGGCTCTGAAGGAAGTCCGCGATAGAAGGTAAAAGACACGAGAAGGAGAAGAATTAAGGGAAATCCTTGCGGTGTCTTGTTAGGTCGTGGAAACTCGATCTGCTTCGCCAAGTAATTCGTCTTATATTTGTATAACAATCCTTTTTCTCGCCCCCAGACGAAGCACGCTTTCACATTCGTCGTTTTTGTTTTACGATCACTCTGTACATTCGAAAACTCAAATGGGGTTGCAAGGGACGCGTCACTTAACACGTTGGTAATTTTAAAGCAAGACTCAACACAGATTTTTACAAATTTCGTGTTATTAATCTCACAAGAATTATAAATGCTTCTGTACAGTGGAAAGCTGAGAAACTCAAATGGCGTTGCGAGGGACGTGTCACTTAACTCGTTTGGTAATTTCAAAGCAAGACTCAACACAGATTTTTACGCTTCTAGATACATATGAGATAGTAAACTGTCTAGCATTATTGTCCAATTTGATTTCAAACAATTACAAATTTCGTGTTATTAATCTCTCAAAAATTATAAATGTTTCTGTACAGTGGAAAACTCAGAAACTCAAATGGGGTTGCGAGGGACGTGTCACTTAACTCGTTGGTAATTTCAAAGCAAGACTCAACACAGATTTTTACGGTTCTATTCTAACACTGGAACTACCGACAATTATAGTGTGTTTATTTGTACCAAAGAAATGGAAACGATAGATACGCGAAGAAATATATGATGCAATGGAAATAAGTGTTTATATATTCTCTTATAGAAAATTACGATTTTTCCAAAATTCAGTCGAGTAAATTTTTTACAAGTTTTATTAGAAATTACGAATCATTTTGACTGGTTTGGTAGTTCTAGTGTTAAACAATTACAAAGTCGCGAGAATTAAAAGTGTCCGAATGATGCCAGTTTGACAAACTATCAAGAAAAGTACACATCGAGGACTCGAAATTAAGTTTCGTAATATAAAAGGGTAATATCTTCGACCAAAAATTGAACGGTAGGTGTGTTCGTGTCTACCGATCTGAAATTTAGTACGCCGTAGCTTTAAAGTGGTAAAGTGTCCCGTGTAACCTCGTTTGACGGTCTCGAAACTTTCGATCGTTTCATTGAACTTGGAAGATTCAAAGAC